TTACGGCCAAATCACGATGAAACATTGATCCCCGTACGATCACCGAAGTTAAACAATGTCGACTCTGGTCAGTACCGAGATTGGTGACCTCTTGGGAATACAAGCTGCTGTACGTTTGGATGTGTGGGTGGTGTAATGACTAATAACTCGAGATTGTTAATTGGAGAGCTGAGTTCCAACTCAAGCTGTGTTTGTTATATTCATGTCATATAGGAAAAAATGACTAACTACCGGCACAGAGGTTCGAACGTGACACTCTGGACTTATGAATATATGTTTTCCGCGAGGTGTGTAAATGGCGGTGTCAGGCTACTGACTGTAGTGATTATTGAGTGACTATTGAGTGGAACTATCCAGTCGAATTAGTGTGAATTATTACGCGCCCATAATTTTGGTTTGGATATAGGATTTACCGGACGTTAAGCCGAGCCGCGCTACTAACAAGGTATTCATTGAAATGGTTAACTATCTTTGGTTGACTTTTACATCTTTGTTTATGTTAAGTATTTATCTGCGGTTGTAATTAAATATTGTTTTATTCTAACATTGAAGTCTTGAGTTATACTTAATTATTAACGGCCACCGTACATCACAAAAATTCACTTACGCGCAAATACCCTTGGAAATGTAATACACCTATTCTCCCCCAGCTATGAGTTAATTAGTAAGACTTGCACCACAAATACAATTATTATCTCCAAAGTAAAATTGTGTACAAAATATTTAGATATTTTTGTACGAAACAGTGACCCAGCATTCCTTGCAGTAGATGAAGCAATTGATTCGGTATAGTCACTCCACGTCAAGTCAGTAGCCAAGAAGACCCAGTGTATTGCTCTCTCTTGCTTCATCCATTATGATGGCAAATGGTGGTTAAATGAAAGCAGTTTTGTTTTGGGGGCGTTCAAATTTACAAACCATACTTGCTCCAGTTAACCAATGATTGGACCTCATATTCTAGGCCAGCCGCCAGGTTTATTGGGTCAAGTCTGTCAGAATTGTTATTGAGATAAAAGTAAATGGTATTATCATCTATATAAATACCTACTTGGGAACCGATGACAACAGAGAGATCATTGATGAAGATCGGATATAGCATAGGACCCAGGATAGAGCGTTGCGTGGACAACCGAGTTCATGACAAACGATCTGGAAGAAAGCCATGACCTTCATTTCAATATATAGGGCCCAGGAAAGAGCGTTCGCGGAAAGGAAACCCGCGTTCGTGACAAACGATCTGGAAGCAAGCCATGACCTTCATTTCACGAATTAATAGATACGATTGAATTAAAGTAAAAATTCGTCCTGCGACTCCGTGGCCATGGGGCTTGCATAGAAGGCCAGCATACGAAACCCTGTTAAACGCCTTCGAGATATCTAGAGCCACTGCTCGAGCTTCGTCGTTTAGTAATATTATCATATCAATATATAGGGCCCAGGAAAGAGCGTTCGCGGAAAGGAAACCCGCGTTCGTGACAAACGATCTGGAAGCAAACCATGACCTTCATTTCACGAATTAATAGATACGATTGGATTAAAGCAAAAATTAGTCCGGCGAGATCGTATCCCTGATGCTTGCGTACAAGGCCACCAAAACAGATGATGTTCCTTTCTCTTAAATAGAGCAGATCCGGTTGTGTGACCAATAAATATGTAAAATTAAATTTGTTATGTAATTAATTTACATGAGCCATCGAAAAATATCCAAATGTTTGGTATTTTCTAAATACAATACAACTGCATTATTAATGTTTATTTATTTATCTGCTTGTTAAAAATCATCGAGTTACTAAACATCATTTCCCGTATGAATAAAATAAGGCATTTTCTTTCTCACGTTTAAAATAAGAGAAAATTCTATTTTTCGTCAGAAGTGTCGTCCATAAATATGGTGGAATTGCATATCGTCACCAATTTATTTTTTATTTTTTTTGTATAAATATTGCAAAGTATCACACACATACACATACACACACACACACACACACACATGCCCTCTTAAATCACTTCCCCATAAACGAAACGTTACTAGCCTCTCCCTATTCTCTTGGCTTCGAATGAGTAATCGGAGAACCGATTTCGAATTCCAGTCGCTTCGTTACATTCACTTGAGCCCAAATATACTTTGGAAATTTACGATACCATCTCCTCCCCCAGCCATGGGTTAAATATTAGGATTTGTATCTGGAAAAGTCATTGTTATTTTCAAAATAATTTTAATGCAATATTCACTATTTAAAAAATGAATTATTCTAACAATCCCAAATATGTTTCGGTTTTAAATAACGCACAGAGGGTTGATAAGTCGTAAAAAATATCAGTCGCTACTCTGTCGCTATTTTTATGTTAGAGACTCAGACAAGCTACATTCCCTAGTTCTACCTGTCCAAATCTTCACAGCTAGGACTCGCAATACCACATACATATGATCAGCTCATCCTCATCCTCTTCATATAACATTGGTAAGGAAGAAGTTCTACTCAGATAGCTTTTTTTCCTGAATTACTATGTTGTAGAACATGCTTCTCCGATCACTACTAAGGTCAACCATTATCTATACTACATATTCTTATAATATGGACCGCTTACCCCTCCTTGTACGCCCGTACAAGCTTATTTAGTAGCCCTCGAGTTTTAGTGGCTCTTGGGCCTTGAATTGGTTGAACAGTAGTATAAAAACACCCACGTACACACCACTGAAGAATAAGTTTTATCTAGCAAATTAAAATAATATTAAGTGGTATTCCCATTTGGACATCAGAAGAATCCATTATATAGATATGAACAATTCTATGTCAGTAGGGTTTTTTTTTTTTCAAGACTCGCACCTCACCGAGATTTCGCAATTTTTCTCGCACCTTTTAAGACATTAAAATTTTAAAAAACCTGAAAATTTAATATTAAACAGTAGAAATAACAAAATGCTAAAATTAATCAACTATCAAAATGAAAAGTCTTTATCAAGATATTTAATGTACTGGTTGTGGTTGCTTTTTCTCAACTTTGAAATTTATTGTAACACTGCGTGTAAAAGAAGGAAGAAAGAGGAAAAACAAGGAATATCCTAAAAGAAATGGTGTAGGAAACGTATCGCGTTTTCTGATATCCGATTTATTTGATATGATCAGTCTCGAAGAAGGTAAAGGAAACAAAATGTGGCGGTGATTTGTCATTGGACCGTGAGTTGACGAATCAGCAACTAGCGAGAAGGCAAGATTTCTCGGTACAAAAAGTAGTTCCTCCCTCCGAAATTCTTCATTGAGGTTTTGAGGTCGTTAGAAAGCAGATTGTCTGAAAAAAAAAGGCTTGGGTAGAGAAGTTCTCTCACTCACTTTACCTCCTCCGTCACTGACAAGTAGTCGACAACATTTCCCTACTGGGAGCAATAAAAGTAGCCAAAACAGAACCTATTGCATAATGCCATTTATTATTAAAAGAAAACCCTTCGCCTGATGAAAAGACGGTTTTTAAGTTTTGGTTAAAAATAGAGACCATGCAACAGCCGATACGACCCACTACGGAACAATGACTGTGGTTCGCCAAACACCAGTTCGAGTCACAATGGTACACGGTGTATGCTCTTTTTTATACTAACTGGGACCCACACTAGATGAATCATTTACTGATCTGAGATATGAAGGAGAAATTTTTCATGCATTATTTGGCGCCCTCTTCTCACATCCATTTCCAAAAATAAACTTACGTACAACTTGGGGATTCCTGCCCCACCTCCACCCCAGATTAAAATGAAGTGAACACTTCTGATAAGACAGAAAATTCTATAAATTCTTTGATGTGACATATTCTTTCTAATTTTTTCAGATTATTCAATAGATAATTTTATAAAAAGGCTCTCACGATATATTCGTCAAGTAATTTTACAGATATGTTCCCCGTAGAAAAAATTAGTTAAATTTCCAGCTGTCAATAAAACTCTCAACACCTCAGAAAAACACCTACTTCCGTTTTTAAAAAATGTATTTCTTCGATATTTTAAACTAAACGCAAGTAATATTTGATTAATTAAACTTTAAATCAACTAATATTGCTGATATAAAGTTTCAGAAAAGTATATTTTATTTTTGAAAGATATTTTAATAAAGAGAATTACATCGTGCTGGCAGATTTTTAGCGATTTCAAAAAAAGAATCACTTTCCAATCAGTTTAAATTCGTTTTGAAATACAATAAAGTATTTTGCTTATTGGAAATATTAAAGTTAATCTATTAGCTTGAAATTAAAACTAAAATCAAAACTTCAAGAAAGATTTTTCATTTTAAAATATTCATTTTAAACCTTAGGTATCGAGTTTCTTTGGAGGTAATTATTCAATAAATTAATCAATGTTCAATTGACTTCTCTCAAGTCTCTTGACCCATTTACACAGTTTTATGTAAAACCGCTCATCAAGGTTAGAGCGTCCGATAAATCTATTGAATTATTACCCAGATGAGCGATGTTACACAAAACTCTGGTGTCGTTCAAGAGATTTAAGTTACTTGAAGATTTATTAATTTATTGAATATTGTAAGTCTCTAGTCATCTACGGAGCACTCCCTTTGCAAAAATTCTAATTTTTATGGCGTTTGGTTTGAGTGAGCGAGATTATATATATATAATTATTAAGTTGAAAGTGTATAGAAGGTGTTTTAACCACTAGGCATCCCCAGTAAATTTGCTTCCATCTTCTTACAACATTTCACCTTTCTTGGTAGAACTTCTATTATCACAATATGGGATACTTAATATCAAAAAAATGCTAAAAACATAAAAAAGAAACTAAATGAAACTTGATAGGCGATGCACATATAAAAAAAAATTCATTTTAAAATTTCAATCTCTTTAAATAAACGCAGCGTCTACTCATATACGGGTATCTACTAAAAATTATATTCAAATAATATATATATATATATATATATATATATATAAATTATAACTATAAGTAATTTGAAGATTTTTGCTCCTGTTTTTGAAACATGAGAACTCTTATGTAGCGAAGGAATCATATTTTTTTTTAAAATAATTATAATTTAGGTTCTACTTATGTACTGATCACTATTTTTTAAAAATAAAAACAAAAAATACTAAAGAACTTCGGATTATTAGCCT